CCAGAGGTCCAGTAAGGATCATCTCTTATTGATCCAGTGTCACTACACGAGGAAACCTAAACTAAACTAACTTTATTTATACAGGATAGCTCTATCAGTTCTAAACTGTTCTCCCTAGAGGTCCAGTAAGAGTCATCTCTTATTGATCCAGTGTTACTACAGGAGGAAACCTAAATTAAACTAACTTTATTTATACTGGATAGCTCTATCAGTTCTAAACTGTTCTTCCTAGAGGTCCAGTAAGCATCATCTCTTATTGATCCAGTGTTACTACAGGAGGAAACCTAAACTAAACTAACTTTATTTATACTGGATAGCTCTATCAGTTCTAAACTGTTCTTCCTAGAGGTTCAGTAAGGATCATCTCTTATTGATCCAGTGTTACTACAGGAGGAAATCGGAGTACACAGACAAAGTTTGCGGTGCTCCGTAAAGTGGCCAAGGTGAAATTATAGCCAGACAATTGCATATCGCAAGAATGATGAGTCAAAGTGATGAATGACACGTGCACTTACGAGTGAATAAATTCCACAGGTACAGCATAAATCATTTTCTGAGGAGGTGTTCGAGGGAATAGATCAGGAAGCTATAAATTATACCACTGCTACAACTTTACCAAGAAGCGAGTCAAGCAGCCAGCACGAGAATGATACGCGAATATGGAAATCTCGCACGGCTTCGGAGTCTGCAAGCCTACATTCCCACGAGACAAACTCCGTTCACGGGAGCACTGTGTCGCAAGGGCGTGATTATCGCGTGTTGACGGAACAACGTAGTTATTATTCAAGTTTCAAGCCTCGCTCGAGTGAAACCCAGTCACAAGTTTCAGACGTTTCCAAGAATTCTGGTTCAACAAGAGAAAGAATTGTCACCCATTCTATCAAGACCTCGGGAACGAAGAAAGTCTTTACCTTTGATTTAAAGTAGACACACTGGATATTAGCTTCAATGTGGGCACCAGTGTAGCTAGTATTCTGAAATTAGCTGCCTTGTCAGGGTGTGTAGCTGAGCTACACCTGTTCAGACACAAACCACGACAGCATATTATAGAATACTACCTACATTAGACCACACGTTTGTGATTGGATATTTAATCATCGTTTCTCTAGCTACTATATAAAATTGTTTGCTATGCACGTTGATGTATGCTATATAGTTCAATCGTCCGAATTTTAATCACAGAAACGTTCACAGTGTAAAACAAATTTTAAACTTTTATATTGTAAACTGATGTTTAGGACGTTTAATATTTATCTCATTAACTGCCAATAATTTGAAACAAACTAGGAATCATGTGTAGCACTGTTTCATGTTTGCCCAGGAGTAAATTAGTAATAATTTTCAAAATATATCATTTACAAAATACATATATTGAGCTTGGCTCACAAAGGATAAGTTTTACTTCATCAAGATTTAATAAAATTTCCTTCCATCTTGCAAAGCATGCCATTCAGCGATCGGCTTGTCGGATACTTTCATTCTTTTCCAATGTTCCAATTCCTTGCCGTCTGTGTTTCCCCCGACTAAAACACATCCTATGATCTTATTCTCATGAATAACTGTCAGTAATATCCCAGTAGTTTCCAGGCTCTCGCTAGCGATGTCAAACGACACGGCCTCATTGAAAACTGGATTGACTTGATTCTTCTTGGTCGAGGTTTTCTTCTTCTTTGTTCGCCGACCATTTTGAATCAATGTCACTTTTACATAAGCATCTAGAAACAGATTGGTCAAGTTTGTCAAGTTATGTATACTAGATACTTTAGCCGTTCTTCCTAGAGGTCCAGTAAGGATCATCTCTTATTGAGCCAGTATTACTACAGGAGGAAACCTAAACTAAACTAACTTTATTTATACTGGATAGCTCTATCAGTTCTAAACTGTTCTTCCTAGAGGTCCAGTAAGGATCATCTCTTATTGATCCAGTGTTACTACAGGAGGATCGAACCTAAACTAAATTAATTTTATTTATACTGGATAGCTCTATCAGTTCTAAACTACTACACGAGAAAACCCAAACTAAACTAACTTTATTTATACTGGATAGCTCTATCAGTTCTAAACTGTTCCCCTAGAGGTCCAATAAGGATCATCTCTTATTGATCCAATGTTACTACAGGAGGAAACCTAAACTAAACTAACTTTATTTATACTGGATAGCTCTATCAGTTCATAGTTAATAGAGGAGATGGTTTGGAAACTCGTTAGCATTACAATAAAATCACAATAAACCTCATTATCTATGTTGTTCAGGTTTATGCAAAAATGTGGTCTTTCATCGTCACGTGCGTATTGTATTTTTCTCAAGTCAACCAATAGGAATCTTCAAAATGTTCTATTGTTAAAGTCATGGAAGGGCAATTGGACAAAACCGTTGCTATTGGCTGGTTGAGCAAAAATACAATACGCACGTGACGATGAAACACCACATTTTTGCATAAACTTGAACAAAAACATAGATAGTGAGGTTTATTGTAATGCTAATGAATTTCCAAACCATCTCCTCTATTAACTATGATCAGTTAACAGAGATCCCTAATCTCTGTGCTGCCAGATGATAATAATGATAAAACTGAAGATACACCTTTAACTATCGGTCATAACGTCTATGGACGTGGCTTAGTGATGGCCTCGTTAAATATAAATAGCCTTTTAGCTCACATTGACGAACTTAGGGTGTATATGAATAATGGTAAAATAGATGTGCTTGCAATTAACGAAACTAAATTAGATTCAACGATTGAGAATAGTGAAATCCATATCCCTGGATATGAGATAATTAGGAAAGATCGAAAAATTAATGGTCGAAACGGTGGAGGTGTCTGTATTTTTGTGCGATCCAATATTAATTATATAACGCGAGATGACTTGAATTCCGAAAATTTAGAATGTCTTATAATAGAAATTACCAAACCACGGTCAAAATCGTTGATTCTTGGCACATGGTATAGACCACCAAACTCTCCAATTAGTTATCTAGATGATTTTGAAAATATTATTGGAAAGCTGGACTCAGAAAATCAAGAGATGTGTATATTAGGTGACATTAACATAGATCTTATGCATGAACCGATCTCGGCCAATGCTGTAAAACTGAATTCCATACTAGATATTTATGGTATGGATCAGCTAATAAACGAACCTACAAGAATTACTAATTGTTCTCAAACCTTGGTTGATCTATGTTTCACAAATGTACCATCAAAAATAATAAAATTCGGCGTTAACCACATATCTATTAGCGATCATTCACTTGTGTTTATGACTTATAAAACTAATATAGAACGTACCGGGACGCGCACAATAAAAACTCGTTGTTTAAAGAATTTCAATAGAGACAATTTTCTTAGAAACTTGGAACAAAAGCGGTGGTGTGATGTTAACACAAATACTGATCCTAATGATATGTGGGACACGTGGAAAAGTTTATTAATGGAGTGCATTGACAAGCACGCACCATCTCGCTCCAAAAGAGCAGGCAAAAAAAATCGCCGTGGATAACAAGCCAATTGTTACGACATATGCATAAACGAGATTATCTGAAGCGGAAAGCAACATTGGCCGATGATCAAACTTTATGGGAAGAATATAGGGTTGCTCGAAATCGTACCAATAACGAAATTAGAAAAGCAAAGCAAGAGTATTTTATAACGAATTTGGAAACTGCTAAAACCAATCCAAGAAAAACATGGAAATTAATTAACGAACTAAGCTCGCGTAATTGTAATAAGTCAAGTAACATTAACGAGATTAAAGTAGACGGAAAAACAATAAATACACCTGCAAATATAGCTGAAGCTTTTAACAATCACTTTTCAAATATTGGTGAGAATCTAGCCTCAGAGATACCCATTTCTAACGTTAACCCTGAAGACTATTTAGAATCAACTGAGCAGAGATTTTCCATTAGACCTCCTACGGTTGATATGGTTTATATTCTGTTGAGTAAAATTAACGAACGAAAAGCTCCAGGTCTCGACAACATTCCTAATAAGCTGTTAAAAATAGCAGCTGCAATAATCTCACCATCATTAACTGATATATTTGCCAGATCAATTAACACTGGCATATTTCCATCCGAGTGGAAAATGGCTAGAGTAACACCAATATTTAAGAAAGGAAAAAGGAATGATCCGAATAACTATCGACCAATATCAGTTATTTCAGCTGTAGCCAAAATCTTCGAAAAATTAATCTTTGAGCAACTTTATAATTACTTCAGTTCTAACAGCTTGTTAACGCATTGCCAGTCCGGTTTCAGGTCGTTACATAGTACACTTACTGCTCTTCTTGAAGCCACTAGTAACTGGTCAGTTAATATTGACAATGGCCTCTTCAATGGAGTAATATTTATCGACCTTAAAAAAGCATTCGATACTATTGATGAATTGATCATCAGATATTGCTGCGGAAGCTTCGAATTTACGGTATGGATCAATTAAGTCTCGAATGGTTTCAGTCTTATTTGACCGGTCGATCTCAGAAATGTAATGTTAGAGGTTGCTTGTCATCATCTGCATCAGTTACACGTGGTGTACCACAGGGAAGTAGCTTAGGACCATTACTCTTCCTTGTGTATATTAACGACCTTCCTAATTGTCTCAGTGCAGCAGTACCGAGAATGTTTGCTGATGATACGAACATTAGTTATGCGGCCAACACTATCGCTGAACTAGAAAATGTTATTAATTCGGAATTAAAAAAATTGAAAAGCTGGTTGGAAGCGAACAAATTAAGCCTTAATATCGCCAAGACAGAATTTATGATAATAGGATCTCGACAACGTATGCATGCGCACACTAACGAAAATATCAATATTGACCTGGATGGTCATGTGATTAAACAAGTTGATCAGGCAAAATCACTAGGTGTAATTATTGATAAAAATCTGTCTTGGTCTAAACACATTGATATGA